GTGAATAAATAAGCAATGCTAAACCTGGTGAGGGCACAACTGAAGCCTGGTGGCCCGCCAGGCTTTTAATACACTGGGGGGAGACTGGGAGGATTGTACTCTGTGAAGCTCTGTTCTTCAATAATACTAAGTAACTTATCCTAACTAATTTCATGCTTCTCTCTGTGATTTAATGTCATCCTTTTGTCCGCAGTACGGTCCGCGCTCACTCGGGTCCAGTTTTCAAGGGCACATGCAAGAACTTCTCCAGATCACAAGGCCACGGCTTCATCCAGCCGTCGCATGGCGGAGAAGACATCTTTGTTCACATCTCAGAGTAAGTTAGAAACAGCGGCCAACGGCAAACAGACGCGCTGCGTTAGCTAAATTGCAGGTACCGCCCCACCTGCAGCGCCAGCTCTGGAAATAACCTTTCTCTTTATGCCAAGAAGAGCATCTAATGTTAGAACAGGCACAGCAAATTGTGTACACTCTGCACTCTGTCGTCTCGCTTTCCTAAAATCACTGAGTTGCTCATTTTGCTGAGTCGAAGCATCTTATTTTAAGGGCTAAAGTTGATTTGCTTCTGTAATTTTAGTAAACGATGTTTTGTAAGACACATGGTGAAAAGCTGCATTTAATTTGGAACCTGGATCTGGAAGTGACATCACACCCAAATGATTAAACAGCTACTAATTGTTGTGGAGCTAAAAACCTAAAGCCAGTACCAGCTGACTACAAGCTTTTTATGTGTTAAACTCTAAAAGAAAGATGTTTCGAAACTTATGATTTTATACTGGTTTAATGAGCATAGCATCAGTGGTTTATTTTTTAAACTTTCTCTAATTTTTCACTATTAACATGGGAAAAGTGTTATGGTGTGTGAAATAATCTGACAGTAGAACTAGTACTTTTTAAAATCCACACTAGGGGATTTTTGGCTTAAATCAAGCTCCTGTTTACTGCAAAGAAATTACTTGTAAGTTAGTTTTGTCTTATTTCAAGTGTACTGAGATATTTGCAGTAAAAACTAGATAAAAAATATTTTGTGTTTTTGCAGTGTAAACCCACACAAAGAGATTTAGCAGTGTTAAGACTGTACTATGGGTTTTTATTGAGCTTAAAAAACATCATAGGTGCAAATTCAGTGTTTGTTCCTGCAATTTTCCCAATGTTTATAGGGGAGACCTTTGCTGAGACCTTTGACCTCTCAGCTAAAAAAAAAAGAACTTCAGGAGCTTTTCTATTTGATTTTCTTGATTTGGATCTAAAAAAATTAAAATAAATCAGACTTCCCAGTTCATTTAGTTTAAAAATAAACGCAATGTTGTTGTTTTTTTAAGCTCTAAAAGTGCGTTTTAAAGGAAAACGGCCTTCCCCGCCTCTGTTTGTCTGCGTTGCAGCATCGAGGGCGAGTACGTCCCCGTCGAGGGAGACGAGGTCACGTACAAGGTGTGCCGAGTTCCCCCTAAGAACATTAAGGTGCAGGCGGTGGAGGTGAAGATCATCCACCTCAACCCGGGGACGAAACACGAGACCTGGTCCGGACAGATCATCAGCTCGTAGTCGCCGAGATCCGCTGCCGGAGGACGGCAACCCTCCGGCTCGTGTCAGCGGGGACGGTGGCGGTGCTCCTGGACTTTTTGCTTCGTTTAAAAAAAAAAACAAAAAAAAACAGCAACCTCTTTTAGAAATATATGTTCCTCTACTCTGTCTGTCAGAGCTGATAATGAAATCGTTACTGTTGCAGGCAAGTGATAGATTCTGTTCAAGCTGTTCCAACAAATCCTCTTTGTGTTATTTATGTTCAAATTGAAGTGGGGACCATAAATTAACCACACTTACAAGTGCGAGGAGTTTTTTTGTTTGTTTTTGGGTTAGTTTGTTCACAGTTAGTTTAAAAAAAAATAGAAAAAGAAATACTGGGAACATTAATCATGTCCATGGTGCAGACTGCAGTGTGTGTGCATGTGTGTGTGTGTGTGTGTGAGGAGACGATGTGTTTTCAGTTTTACTTCCCCTCTTTGCAGCTGTTTCTCTGCTGCATCAAAGTTTCCAGAGTCACATGTTTGCTGCAGGGGTTTGTCGTGGGATTTATCCCACCCAGTCTGCACTGTTGCTACGTCAGATGTACAAATTTAAAATGGATATATTAAACTCAGAGAACAGCTGATGCAAAAGGAAGCGATGGCAACATTCAGGAATAAGAATGGTTAGTCCTGGAGTACCAGGGAAGCTGTGAGGCTTTTTACATCTCCTCCCATGATGAGATGTCTCATATCTCCTTCCTGGTTTCACATCATCATTATAAAAAACCCCCAACAAAATATCATGTGACAGATGCAGGAAGGGTCATTTGACCTTGAGCAGACAAACTACTGGCTTTTTATAAACAGTTAAAGAAACATTTCCAAGTCAGTGGTGGTTCCTTTATATACATATGAATCTGAAATTAGGTTAAGGACAGTAAAGGAAACAAGATGTTAAGAGAAAAGACATTTTTAGCTATATTTTTGAGAAGGAAAAAAGGACTTTTTCAAAATAAAGTAAAAGTTTAAAAATTCTCAAGTAATCCCAGATCAGTGATGACTTATCCAGGTTGAGCTAAATATTTTAGATTTTGAACAAGCTGTCAAAAGATGTTGTAATTGTCCTTTAGTTTAGTGCAGAATAGGTCATTGTAATGTTTTTCTTTTACATTTCACAATGCAAATGGGACAACCAAGTAAGCAACAGAAAACTATTTAGCAGCAGAAATGTCAACGATATTTTTATTAATTTATTTGTTTTTGAGTACCTGGGCTGCCCCCTGATGGAGTGGCGGCAAGGGCAGAGAGCCATATTGTCCATATAAAAAGCCGCCACTAGTTCAAATAAAAACTGCACACATTCCCATAAAAGCAGATCTACTTCATTGTTCTCTCTGCGTGGATATTTGTGTATGAATTAATATATTTTGTCGTCAGATTATGACACGCTTTGCATTTTGCTGAGTATGAAAGCTACTCGACCTGCCAGTTTGCATCAGATATATCATCACAGCTGTGGGTTTTACTGCCAGTGAGTGAAAATCGTGTGCTTGGGGAAACGTGGTGGCCTGCCTCACCGTGTCATGTGTTAAAGGATCTCAGCATATCGTAGCTACCCAGGTTAAATGGGACACTGCACCTCATTTTCTACTACTGCAAGTTTCCCGCCGTCACGTGTGTCCGTGTCTTTGCCTGAAAAGGTGCTTTTATCACTTCAACTGAGCCTTGAAAAAACATTAAAGTGTGATTTATGATTTGAACTGAAGGTGTGTTTATTCGGAGTCTGAACAAATTCAAGTGTGGTACACCAGAGCTGCTGATGCGATGTTGTGTTTAACTCTTTCTACAACTCAAAATAAGAATTAAATGTTAAAGAAAACATTAAAATAATCGACATATGCAAGCGACAAGAATGTTCTTTTTTGCTATTATGAGAATCTGAACTAAAACAGGAGCAATAAAGCATGAAGATAAGCTGTAGCTACGAGCAAACCCTTTAAAAAGTTATTAGAGGGAAAAGGTGACATCTAGTGGTTGGAAGCTGAATTACATGGTTGGTTTGGCCACCGAAATAAAGGAGAAAACCTGAAAGTACAAAAAGTAAACACCAAGAGGCAGCAAGGTTTTAAAAAGAGATTTATTACGTTAAATAGTTTGTTTTTCTCCACGAGTGCTTGAAAAACCAACATGCTCGATCTTCCAGTTACTTCCACAGAAGCGTTATAAGGCGACTGTCAGCTTTGTATTTAAAGTTCACTGAAGCCCTTCAGCTTGAAGGAGTGTGTATGGTCAGATTTTTATTTATTTATTTATTTATATTTTTTATGAGTGTTTGTTTGTTCCCAGACCATAAAACATTAGCTATGTACATTCAAAATCTGGTTAAAATCACTTAAAACAGTGGTGGAAAACGAGCATACATGTCATAAAATGCTCTCAAGCTCAGAAATTTGGAGACTTTACTCCGACGGACATTTTATCTGCAGCAAGCTCAACCAATCAGAAAACATCTCGAGGTCTCGCACACTTTTTATGAAAATAATTAAGTGCAGATAAAGACTGATCAAACTTTTTTTTTTTGCCTTGGAAGCTGACATTGTGACACGGTCACAGCAGGTCAATTCACTGGTTGAGATGAATTCCCACTTTCATTTCCAAACATCCAGACTTTGCAAAAGTCATGAAACACTGCTTATGTCATCAGATAATTCCCTAATCAGGAGTTTATAATGTGTTCAAATGGTCTTCTAAAATTGTTTTAGCATCTATCAACATTTTCAAATCTATTTAAGTTATTCAGGCAAATGTATGCAAACAGAAAACAGGTACAGAAATGATATATTTTTTGATTTGATATACAAATGTGTCTCTGGAACGTTTTCAGCCTTCAGCTTTCTTAATGAAAGACTCAAAACTGTTAAAAAGATTAAAATAAAAACGGGACCCTATGATGCAACATGCAGCTGAGATACAAAAGGACTTACTGAACACAGTTTGGACGGTATTTTTAAAAGGTGAAAGTTGAGAGGTTGTTCTCTTGAGAGGCTATTAGCAGTAATCATCTTACATGCTGTAGATAGCTCCTAAACAATTTTTTTGCTAACGTCTAGTCAAACTTGGAATAACTTTGGATGGCCACTGAAATCAAATTAACACACCAATACGTAAAAATGACATTTCGTATGTTAAGATATTGACTGTTCACAACCACTCAACAGAACTCTGATTAAAAAAAACAACCTAAATCTTCCCTTTTAAATCTGCTGATTGTTCCCTCAAATGCATTTAGAGGAATTCATATTCACTTCAGGACCCTTGAGAAGTGGATGTAAATATTTGACACCAGATAGTTAAACGGTTAACATATTAAAACGGATCCAGTTTAAAAATTAAAGCAGCTGGAATGTCGTGTCCCTTTGGTACATCCTACACTTTAAATGTAGAAAGATCCTTGTTTTGAAGAAGTTAATAACCAAAAACCAAAGAGAAATCACGTTGCAGTCTCCTCCGTCCCGCTCTCGTACTGCGGTGAGTTTGTCGATAACTATTATCTCTCATTAGTGCAAAAATATCGCTTCATACCCAAAGTCATCTGGAAGATAAACATCCCTGTTCATTTTGGGTTCATTTCAAGGTTATATGCTTCTCATCCCAGCAGTCAAATGTAGTTTTTGGCACAGTACTTAAAACAACAATGCTCACTTCAACATCTGCTGCCTTTAAATAAAAACCCTCCTCCTGCCTTTCATTCATATATTAAACTAACATTATCAACAAGGAGACGTCGGTAGCGGTGCCACTCAGCAGTTCATTAGAAGCCTGCACTCGATGTTCCTGCTGCTGTCCAGTTCTGGGGGGGTTTTGGCCGAAGGTATGGCGATGAGGCGCGGCGACGAGTCGAAGAAAAGTTCGCGGCAGAGCCGAACCGTGTTCTCGGGTGAGTAGACGGTGAAGCCGATCGTCCTCGGGTCGTTGAAGATTTCGTAGTCGTTTCCTCCCTGGAAACAGGAGTGGCGTCATCATAATCGCATCACATCTGAGTTCATGTGGTTGGGTTTCCTTCTCATGACGAAAACCAACCACCAGGTCAGACATCCCAGAACAAATGACGGCTTTATTCTCTGAGTCTGAGGTTTTTACCCCTCAGCATGTTCATCCTCTCATGAGATCACAGTGACAAACAAAGAGAAGCTCTTTGTTTACACGACTCTCGAAATGTTTTAATTGTTCTTAAAGGGACAGTGTTATGAAAAATTAACTTTTTTTGAGCTTTACATCATATTCCCTGCAGTTTCCTTGATTCTTTCATGCCTGTTTGAGAAATCGTTTAATCTCCATGGCATCTGTTCAGCTGTACAAAACGCCTTCAGGGACGTAGCACCGCCTTCAACACACAGCTCCTCCCCAGAGCTGCAGTTTCTTCCCCATTCAGCTCCTTCAGACTAGCCAGCAGCAATTAGCAAACATCTGGAGGAGCTGAGCATCAGCTGAGCTCATTATAGCAGCTACTTTTCAGAGGAACGCTGGTAAAAACGTTGTTAAAGGGTTAATAATAGAGGAGCCATGTTGTGATGACTTCCTGAAGGTGGAGTTTCAGAAAGAGCAGGAATTTCTTAAAGAGACAGAGACCCAATTTCAAGGCCTTAAATTACAAAGTCAAATTTATTTTAAGCCATGTTTGATATATGCAGCAGTTTTATAACTGGCACTATATGCCTGGAAAACACATCATACTTTAAACTTTCTCATCTTGATTTTGTGGAATATTTTCACATAACATAGTGCATAACTTAGACATAAAAAGAAAAGGACAAATAATTTAGATTTTTTTTGTGTGTGTGTTTTTTTTTTTCTATTTTGCTGCAGCCTAATTTACACTGATACCCTAAAATAAAACACAACACATAAATCATGTATGTTCTTCTTTTGTTTATCTGTCAGACTAAATCCTGGTGAAATGGGTAAAGTGACAAAAAGTGAATAATTGACCAAATTTTTCTTCCATTTATTGGAATAACACCAACAGAAATGTGACCCATGACCTCTCAGGAGACACTGAGGTCAGATTGCTCAAATGCTGCTGCATTCGTTCAGCAGTCTGACATGAATGAGCCTTCAGATAAACCCAAGAGCTGCTTTAAAAACGGCAGGACTTCCCGTCCTCAGGCTGTCACAGGCCAGTCGATCTGAAGCAAATATTGGGCAACAAACCACGTAAAGTAAAAGCTTGCAGCTATTCGTGCAAATTAAAGGTGGAGGAAGGTTTACATAAGTTTCCAAGGTAACAAATAATGAACTTTGGAGAGTCACATTAACGAGTCAAACTTTCAAATTTGTGCTTTGAAAGTTTGACAAAACTCCTTGTGTGCTTCCCCCACTAAGCTGAGTATCAGTCAGATTTCTCAGGTCCACACTGTGAAAAATCTGTATTATTGGCCGGAGTGACGTGTTCTTGTTGGTTTAATTTGGGTTTTTCCCAAGACATTTTAAGTGTTTTTCACCTTTTACAATGATGAAAAAGAAACTCTTTGCTGCTGCAGTGCCATGTGACCGGCTCTGCGCTCGTATATATCCTGGGAGTGGTGCACAGAGAGCAGCTGAGACACTGGTCGTAAATTTTATGATGTTCAAACCAGAGCGATACATTCATCAGACAGAGGGGCAGCTTTTACTTTAAGTTTCATTTGCACATAAGAGTGAGGAGGCGTGCTAATGTTAGACTGGAAGTTCAGCAACCGTCCTGGGATTTTATTTATTGGTTCAAGTTTGGTGACAGAGGGTCACTCCTCTTATTTTGCCCTCCTGCTGGTCGTAAACGCCAACGTTTTATGTTGACGTCGGTAAAGGAAATGTTCTTACTTCTGAGGTTTCGTTGCCAAAGAAGTAGATGGCGTCCAGGCCTTCGTTCTCCAGCAGGTCTAAGCACAGCCGCTTGTCCCAGCCCTCAGGGAAAACATCGAAACTGATGAGCCCACCTGAAACGAGACGAGCCTGTCAACGTTATCATAACGACATCAATGGCTCCAGGACAATCCAAACCCAAAGTGAATATGGAAATATTTATTCCAATTGAATTTCTCAAAACTGCTGCATATAAATTTATTTGTAGTTAAATATGTTTAATAAGAGCAAAACTCTTACAGATAAATTGAATTGAATCATAAAATATTTTCTGAAACCTTTCATATTAAACTCTTTTTCAATTGATTGTGGTTCTGATCCCAGTTTGGTCCAATTGGACGATTTTGACCCCATAAGTCCATGAGACCTCCTGCTGGTAGATATTATTTATTGGCCTTATGTAACAATATTTCATTTCAGTAGATTATAAATTGAATTGAAACTTGTTATGAATTAGCGTGCAGTAAAATAAGAATAAAGGCTGATATTAATTGTCATAAAACGTCTGCAGTCATAAAACTTGGAGTCAGAAATGGTGGAGCAGCACCAAACATCCAGCTCAACAGAATAAGACAAAAAAGGAAAACAATGTTTGAACTTCCTTTAATATACAAGTAAATTTGCATAATGTATTTTAATATACAATTGGGCCAAAACTATTCATAACAGTTAGAATAAATGTAAGATTTAAAATAATTTAAATTTAAATTTAATAATTTAGATTTAAAGTAGTTTTCAATCAACCAGGACTGTAAACTGACCAGCTGTTTTTTTGTTGTTTTTTTTTTTTAGTTTCCACTGATGCTTCAGCTTTGCCTGTTGGTCAAACAGGCAAAGCTGTTTGATTTAAACTTTAACTTTAAATCAATGAATACTTTTTAGACTAACTTGCTGATTTTATTTACTTACTCATTACCTGAGTTTCTCCTCTGTGCGTCTGGTGTGAATACTTTCTAGCACGGTGGCAAAACCTGAAACTGCTGCTGCGTAAGTTACTCAACAGGTTGTTGCTAGGTAACCAAAGAGTGAGTGAGTTGCTAGGCAACCAGAGAGCAATGAGTTATTTGATTAGTTGGTTGTGTGAAAGGTTGAGCAGATAAAGCCTTTCCTCATTTCCCAGAATGCCGTGCGGTTCTGGATTGGAGTTCAGTGACTATTCCATATATTGAATATTGTATTTATTGATATTAATCAAGTGTTTATCACCATATATACAGTTGTTGATTAGTATTGCAGCCCTCCTTTCAAGAGTTACATTTATTAAAAAATATTACTGACATAGAGAAAGAGAATCATCACTTTAATCACATCCAGTTTAAACCAGTAAATAATTTAACAAAGGAAAATAAAACTTAAACTTCAACCCATCGACAGAAGCAGGAGAACTTGTTGCCTGAGAGAAAATCGGATGAAGACACAAAACATCACTAGGTTATAATTTTTTTGTTGTTGTTTTCACCAAGACTGCAGAACATTTCCTGTAATTAAAACCATAATAGTCTGAAATGATCCGTCTCTGCTGAGCTTCAACTCACATGACCCTGGGCTGTGAGATGAGGGCAGAGCAAAACAAAACAGACAGAAATCTGCCTGACAACTTTCGGCACACATTGTTCTCTCCAACCTAAGCGACTTTTCCACGTCTTGCCTCCAGAAATCGGCCAATCAGGAGGCTCTGTCCTCTCACACCCTCATTACGGCTCTGACACAAACACCTTCACGCCCAGAAGACAAACAACTCAGAGCTCCAGCTTAACTTTGAGCCTGCATGTTTTAAGAAACACCGAAAGCTCAGATTGTTGGCTGAACTGAATTACTTAATGTAGAATCCCTCCAGAGGAGGAAGCTGATGCCTGGAAACACTGATTAGCTCGTCTGTCTAGGTGCAGACTGGGCAGCGTCGGGTTATATAACACCTGCAGCTCCTATCAGCTGATGAGGGCGCAGATGAACTGTAAGGAAAAGCAAATAAATAAACCTTCTGGAACTGCCAAGCCGTTTTCACTGCGTTAGAGTCAACGGCGTAAAGATTCAGGCTGCGGCGTTCCCCTCTGATTTCACACCCCAGGAGCCCCAACATTCAGCAGGTGGGCTCTCGAGGAAATCGAACGGGCCGGTTCTTGTTAGTGTGAAGTGAGAGCGGCCCTAACGCGTCACCAGGCAAACATCTAGTACCTTCTGCTGCGGTGTGTCGTCAACAGAGCGAAGGAACAGCGTGTGTGTCTAATAGTTAACCAGCACAAAGGTTCAGCATGAACCAAAGGTGGGCCAGCAGAGGGGCGGAGGGGTGGAGGGCGGTCTCTTGTTTTTTTATCAATAGATAAGAAGCAACAAACAGACAGAAATGCTGTAAAAGTGGTTTGGCACCGAGCCGAACCATCATAAACAGACGCAATTAAGTTTGCCTTTCTTCCTGACAGAGTGTCGCCAGAAACAAGATGTTCTGTTTTCCCTTTTGCCTGCCTTCCTGCACGGATGCAGAGAGGGATCCGAGGCGACGGGAACAGGATTCGCCTCGTTCGATTCTCTCACCTTTGGTGAAGCGGAGCCCCTTTCCAGCAAACTCTTTTTTCAGGGCAGCAACAAACTTCTCCCGGATCTTCTCCCTCTGAGAAACAAGAAACAAACGGGTTAAAGACATTGGAGCAAAAAAAAAAAAAAAAAAAAGACAGAAACGGTGGCTTGCTTTTGTTATTAACCTCCTTTACTCTGATACCACTTAAAAAGCTTCCAAAGTGACCTAATCAGTAAATAAAATCTGTTCCCTTGTGTTGTTTATTCTGAGTTCACTACAAAAACACAAAATCTAACCAAGCAGTTTCTAGTGCAAATAGAAACTATTTGCACTAGAAACTAGTACAAATAGTTTCTAGTGCAAAACTAGTTTTGTTTATTTTATTTGAAATAAAACAAAACTGACCTACACTAACTTCACACCACGATATACGAGCTTAATAATTCATAAACATTGATGAAAGTGAAGTTAATTGGATTAAAACATTTTCAGGTTTTAGCCACAATCTAATGGTCTTCAGTAGAGAGTAATTTATTTAAGTAGGAATCCATATTTGTTTTAATTAAACCCGGTTCGGCTTAATTACTTTTCAGATTCAGATTCATCCAGCTCATAATGGCAAGTTTTCTACCTGAGAGAGGCCACTGATCACACTCAGTCGGCACTTTATCCATCTGAAAAAGTGTTTATAATTTTATGCGATGCTAAAGGTTTACCGTTTCTTCGTGGCGACATTATTGAGCTGCGATCCCTGACATAAGAGGCCTGTTTCTCCCACCGGAGCGTTTCTGTTTTTAACGGAGCGCCGCCTGAAGGGACTCGACCTCTCTGGGAAGCTCGTTTTAGACTCATTTTTACCTAATTAACCTAGTTAGTGACGAGTTCTTCCTCTGGGTTTTTTTTTTGCACGTAGCTAAAATACCCAATTTTTGAGGTGAAACACGTCAAAAACATGCCAAACTAATTTAAATGTAACTAAATGTCTTTCTCTTTCTGAAAATAGAGGAAGATTACAGAATATAATCTTCCTGCTAAACTTCTCCTCTGCTGATACTTAGTTTCTTTATTAAGCCAGACTCTGTCAACCAATCTGTTAGGTTGTGTTGACGGGTCAATGTTTGACCTTTCTTTGTCTGTTTAACGACTTAAAAAGAGAAACAAAGAGGTCCTTTTGGTAAAAAACAAATGTCTGCTTTGCTCCATCCTGTCTGCCTTCAGATTGAATCATCCTCTTCTTTTGCACAGCAGAGGCGATTTCGTAACTTTTCCAGGCGAACAGTGTTTACCTTGTCTATTTCTGAAAATTCGATCCTCTCCTCCAGGGTGCAGCTGCGACCGATGGGCGAAATGTTAATCATCCCGTTCCTGAACTCGATAAACGTTCCCCTGCGGGAAGAAAACGACGTGTGATTCAATGCTTTTAATTCTGATCCATCTCTCAGTCTTCTGTCACGAAAGTGTAAAGGAATAAAAACATTCACTTGAAATAAAGAAACCTGGCGAACGAACCTTTTCTTTGGCAGCTTAATGAGCCCCATGTACCGCAGGCAGAAGTTGATCAGATCCTGCAGCAGCTCCTCTCCCAGATGGTTCTGGATCGCCTGCAGGAGCAAAAAACGCATTTAATATGGCTTTAATATAATCGTACTAAATTACCATTATTATTAAAGAGAAAAATGCTTTCCAGCATAATAAACTGGGGATTTCCGGCTTTGTTCTCACAGAAAATATGAACTCTCTTACGTGCTTTGAGAGCAGTTTCCCGTCTTTATATTGAACTGTCCCGTTCTCAGCAAACACATAGTCAAACTTGTGAATCACTGAAAGAGAAAACACACAAAACGAGGCTAAATGTGATCGTCATAACTCAAAGAGTTCTTGTTTTTAAATTGAGAACAGTAAGAATAAGAAAATGAAGTAGCATTTTACGCTGTTATCAGATTATACTGCATATAAAAAGGCTGGAAGAGTTTTAGTCAGTCTAAAATCTCTTCTTCCTTTCATCTGAGTTATCAACGGTTTGATTTACTTTAGAAACTGATTTTATCGCTGTAACCTAAAAGAAAAAAAAAGAATCTGAAATCAGAAGATTACTGCTAAACAGTAAAAGCAAATGCTGTTGGAAAACAGATTAAGACAGTTATTTATTCATCTAGGCTCCAAGCAGCAAGGTAAAAATATATGTAATAAAAATGTTCATTAAGAAGAAGGGAAACAGTGTAGATAATAATAGTATAAAATCCCCTGGAAAACTTCCAGAACCACTTAAAGCCTGTTCCTGGAGTCGTATGCCAGTGGTACTGAGTGCAAAATTTGCAGAATATTTCAAGATTAAAACTTCAACTGAAAAGTAGTCAGAGAGAGTAAAGCAAAGAGGAAAGAGTTCATGTTATGTGGGAATGAGAAACGATGAGCTTGTTATCACACTTTCATCTTCCCTGGGTTGAAGAGGAAATGTCAAACAGCCAAGAAAAGGTAAGAAAAAAAAAAGTAAGATTTGCTGGCTTTGGACCAACACATGTCGCCTCTAAGACAACCTGTTTATCAGGTAGAGCCTCCAAAACATCAAACCTCCTCACTGTTTGCTCTACATGCACACGACTCTTTGGAGGTGACTGCGCATAAACAGCTGGACACCAAACACACTCAAAAGTGTAAAGAAAATGAACTGTTGCACTGATTATTTTAGCTTTTAGCATTTTAAATATGCACCTAAATGCGCCACCTTGATGTTTTTCGTGGGTAGAGACACCACCAGCTGCAAATGGGCGCCAAGAACAGCCTCACCTTTAACACACTTGGACGTGAAGCCACATTGTGTTCTAACTTGGCACAAAGCGTCTGCATTCCAGCTGTAGACTAATATTTGCAGACAGACAAGTTATCAGCTGTCGGTGCAGCTACGTGTTCCCTGCTCAGCGTGACGGTGTGTTTTGGAAACAGCTTCAGGAGTCACGAGTTGGGAAACCGAAGCATGAGGGGGTCAGATGGACAACCGCATGAGAACTGATTTAAGTGTGGCTGGGTGTGTTGCTGCATTGCATTTCAGGATGGAAGCTGATGAATCAGACGAGCAGGTCCTGCAGAGGATAGTGAGGGGAGCGGAAAAGTTGCTCGTCCACATCAAGAACGGAAACACCAAGCAGTTAAAATGTTGAACTGATGTTGAGATCACTTTTTTTTTTTATCACTTAAATCATTGATCTTCCACACTGATCGTCTTTCTTTCTGTGTTGTTTGTGGCGACGAAACTATTCCCAGTTTTACTGATTCCCAATTTCAGCCATCGAAAATCTAAATCATCATGAAAATCCAGGTCAACTGGAACAAAAACACTTTTATTAACTAAATTACTATATGTACATCTGGGTTTTTTTTTTATATTGCACACTCTTATTAAGAAGCAACAGACATTAAAATGTATAAAATATATCAGTAATGCTCTTTTTATGTGTCAAAAGGCTTTTTGAAGATGTTC